AAAACATTTTAACTGTTAAATGTGATCAGTTTAAAACGGCTCATAAAACTGTTTCAGTTTTTCCATCTCTGTTAAAATCTAGTTATTAAAACTGATCAGCTGGTGATTATACTTTACTGGGGGGTTAATTTCACTGTACTTTAACTCTAAAAACCTACCTCTCTGGGTTAGTGAATGTGTCCATGTTCACTGAAACAAAAAAATTTTTACGCTTAATTTAATTAGCTAAATAAGATGATCTGCCAATGGAATGAGTGTTTTTTTCCCCCTTAAAATAAGATAATTAGATATTATATATTAGATAATATGCACTAGAAACAAGACAATGCAATTGTTTTTTCTTATTTTAAGTGCAATTCATCTTGTTCCATTGGCAAAGTGTCTTACCTCCTCAATTCAAGAAAAATGCACTTATATAAAGAAAAAAATCACTTATTTAGATTTCCATTTTTTGCACGCTGTCTATCCAGAAGAGAAGAAGGGATGATCAACTTGATTTGGTACGCAGCACTGTCCCAGAAATATGGGCTGCAACACAAAGACTCCTAAAAGTTAAAATATGTCACAAGTTTCACCATTGAAGAAATATTTCCAAGCAGCAAAGCTTTTTATTCGTCTAAGAAAGTGAGAGAAATCATTAGCAACATTCAGCCAGCTGGTGGCAGTGTGCAGCATCAAGCAATGGGAGAGGAAAGGCTAAGAAAAAGTCGATCTACTTTCTCTGAAATCAAAAAGGATGTTTTTGTAAGCTTTTAAAACTCTGGTATACCTTGATACTGGAATCCAGCCCATGCCTAGTTTCTGATTGTTTATGGGGATCATTTCATTTTTTAATACTGGTCTTAATGCAGTGTTCAGCATCCCTCCTGACCCTTCCTGCCGCCTGTGGAGCAGAACCAGCGAGCAGTTTTGAAAGCTTGATCCCACCTGCTCGCAGTCGGCCTGCTCTGGTTGGGCATCACTCATGTCGAACTCTGGGATCGCTCTGTCACTCTTAGAGCCACCTTGACTGACAGTGAGACTCCCATTTCTATGCAAACCACAAAAGGAGGTGTTTGTCCAAAAACCCATCCTCTACATCTGCCAGTCTCTTCTTATCTCACAACTTGTTCTACCAGGCAGCTTCTTCTGAAACCTCACTGGGTTTAAATGTAGAGGACACTGAAAGAGACTCTGCCTCGCTTAGATCGACACTAAACTTCGCGTTGGCCGTCGCTCCTTCAGTTCGGTGCCAACTGGATTGCTGGTGTCTGCTTCCACTTTCTTGCATTTTCTATGTTTGATGAGAGGATCCATGGAGCAGAAGGGCAGGAGAGATGATGATGTCTATGAGGAATAGTGGGCTGGAATATTTTTAGCAGTAGGAGGGTGGAGGGAGGTCCCTGTATGTGTCTGTGCACTGTTTATGGGTCACATCGGGTACATATCTTTAAAAACCAAAAATATGATTTTGTTCTTTTTACCATCAAGATTTTCACAAAAACGAGAAACAATAAAAAAAACAAAAGAATAGACTGCGCACTAAGAAGCTGAGACACACCTCATGTTTGGTACAAAGTCTTAAAAAACAAAAAAAACAAAAAAAAAACTTTGAACTTTGGGGACTTGCCCTCTTCCAGAGTCGCCTTGGACGTGCATCGTTCAACAAAAAGAACAATCACTTTCTGCCTGTGCTGTTTGTTTGTGAGATTGTTCCTGAAAACCTGCATTAATGAACTCCACACTGGACTTAAATCATGGAGCTGGTGTTGAAGTCGAGGAGGGAGGGGGGAGTCAGAGGGTCACCTCTCAGATGTGGATTTCTCGGCGCAGCACCAGCACTGAGAGCCTCTCCCACTCCCTCACCTGCACTCTTATCTACCTGTAAAGTGTCAGAAATCAGATGCTCTCCCTACCTTTTACTTCTTTTTTTTTCAAAGGCAACTGGAGCTCGAGTTCAACCTGCTTCATAATCACAGATCAGGCACGAGTCTGAGCAGGGACCCAAGAAATCAAGGACAGGAGGTTGAATATGCACATGCTAGCTCATACCCAGTACACAACCAAGAGTACATAATGGATGTGTGGCTAGACTTGACCTGTTCTCCCCACTTTTACACCCTTTTCTTTATCCCTTCCCATTTATGTTTCCCAGAAAATGAGATCAAAAACATATCAGAGTAATACAGAATAATGAGAACAAATACTTGAATCAAAAAGAAGCGCCAACAATGTATGTAATGTGAACACTTTTTTATCGTTTTTTTGTTTTGTTTTGTTTTTGTCTGATTCATACACTTCAGAGATTTTTGACAGCTTCTGTTCAGAGTTACTCAAATGTGAACCTTTTAAAAGCAAAGGTGGATTATAAAGGCAAATGTTACATCTTGTTTCAGAGTGTTTGCACAAGGCTGCTTGTACTGTATGAATGAATGTCTGTCAGGTGTAGAAATCGCGTACAGGTGCACCTTGGTACATTTAAAAGGACGCCAGAGCTAAATTATTTCTGTATTTTGAATCAGATTTATTGCACAGTGATTTATTTCAGGCAATTCTTATAACGATCTCAATTGGATTTAAGTTTAGACTTTGACTAGACCCTTCTAGGCTGCCTTTTTGTGGTATTTGGATGCTCTGTTGTTAACTGAAGTCCCTAAAATATCTTTTTACATCTGAAGACTGATATCAGTGACTTTTTTAAAAGATAGTTATGATTTTCTTGCTTTGAGATTTTTCTAGCCTATTGTAAGTCATTATTTATTGAATTTGAACTCAGCTTCCAAAAGGTGGTTACCGGTAAATTAAAAGGATCGGTGATCACTCTTTCACATGGGGTCAGGTTGCTTTACATTTTTTTGTCACTTTGATGTATAAACCCATGGTTATGCTCAGTGTTCCTTTGATCGCTGGTAAAACTATTTTGAACTTCAGTAGCAAAAAGGGAGAAACCAAATTTATAAAGGGAGCAAATATGTTTTATAGCTGCTGAAATGATGCAAGAATATTAATCAGAAAGTTTAGTGGAAGGAAGAAGGTGTAAGATACAATTTGGAATGATGATCTTAAAGTCGTAATGACCAAAACTACCAGAAATAATTGCTTAAAAATACATCACTGTATGCAATAAATCTGTTATTTTTTATATTTTTTTCATAATTTACTGAAATAAAGTTTTGATACTATTCTCCTTTATTGAGATGCACCTGTATGAGAGCTTTTGATTACTGCGGAGGATTTGCTCTGCCTCATGTTTTGTTTCAGTATACCTTTTTTTGGGCTTGTCAGATACTATTTTAATGTTGTAACTAGCCTCTAGCGTTGCACTGAGTGTCGGCCTCACCCCTCACCCAGCTACATGAACAACATGAGACAAGTACTGAGGGGGAAACTGGGGGACAGTTCATGTGTAAATGTTTACTCAAGGACTAAAAGTATTTGTTTTCTTTTGTTGGTTTTTTTTTTCTTGTATTAAATGTAATGTTTTATCTACCTTAGTGGCTTTCATTGTGGAATAATCCAAGAAAGTATGGATCATAATTGAGTATTGCACCATTTTTCAGACTGTAAAGCTTAAAAAAACAAAAAAAAAAAAACATATATGTAAAAAAAAGAAAAAAAAATGCAGCAAAAAAAAAAAAAAAGGATTTTACAGACCTGTGGCCATAGATTGGGGGTAGAGGGACTTTAACTCTCCCAAATCTGAGCAAACGGAGAGTGAAGAACGAGACATCAGACCGAGCCTTGGCTTCTAGGGCTCACCTCAGAGGTGCCTACCTTTCTGTTATGTTTGTTATTTTTTATTTTAAGTCCTGTCATCAGTTGTTTTTTCCTACAAGGCCACTGACAGTTTACAGTTTTATTTCTTCAGCAAAACAAAGAAGGAATCAAACCGCACGAATGTTGGAAATAGAAAGCAAAAGGACAAATGCTTCCATTAAAAAAAAAACAAAAAAACAAATGAAATCAGACAAATGAAGATTTCCTGTGCTACTTTCAGAACTCTGGGATTGAACAGTGTTGTCTTGTTCTGTTTAACCTTCTTCCTTCTGTGTTAAAAAGTTGATTTCATCAACTTATCTCTTGGTTTTTATGTTGATTATGTATATTTTTTTTCTCCTTTGTAGAAAAAGGAAGGAAAAAAAAAAGGCTCACTATCTTGCACACACGATTTAAGTGGATCTTGTCTCAGGAAAGCCAGGGTTCCAGAGTACCAACTCCACGCCATTTTAATGTACATTTTTATGTATGATGAGTTATAAAAAAAGAAGAAAAAAAAAGACAGAATTTTAAGCACTGAAAGTTATGGATTTCAGAATAAAATACCTTTTTTTTGTTTCTAAATCCGTAGCAGTTACATAATAACCAAATAATGGACTTTTAAACAAAAATGGAGTGCTTTATAATATAAATCTATATATTAAAATTGCTTTACTTTTAAAAACAAAAAGTGGTCAACAAGTTTGTTTAAAAAATGACAAAAAAAAATATGAATAACATGCAAATGCTGTATGTTTGAATCTTTGTTGTGTTTTTCTTAATAAGGTCCCGTCCTGACTGAATCAGGAACGTCGTGCATTAATCTTTCTGTCTCTTGTTCTCCCGCTGAGGGTGTTATTAATAGATTAATCAGACTTTTCTTTTTTGAGCATTTTTGTCTCAGATTGTGGAGGATGTTATGGTGAAACATGAGCTGGTTGTAAAAGGATCATGAATCTATGCACAAGTGTTAGGTGGGCTGGATGGTAAAGGGTGGGGGTTTGAATGCAGGGGTTCCTGATTTGTTTCTATGTGTTTTAGTTCTTTAAGGGGACAAAGAGATGGACAGGGAGAAGCCCACCACCACCAGCTTCCCCCCTGATCCCTCTTCAGATTGACCTAGCGCTACATCGCCATGCTGTGTATTCCTAAAACCAATGAGCATCTCACTTTTTAGCACTGTGGGATTCTAGCCTGTCACCCTCACGGGTTTGTTTTTTCTTTCCTTTAGTGTTTTTGAGGGTGGGAGGTGGGATTAGGGCTGCTTTTTTTGCCTTTTTTAATGTTACTGAGAGTTAATGAGAAGTCAGTGGCTTGTAATGTTTTATTTTTGTTTTTCTGTATATCTCTTTCTCCTCATAGAATGTGATTGTTAAATGACATGCACCGAAACAAATGTTTTCATGAACTATGGAGCTTCTTTCAAATATTAATAAAATAGCATTTTTTTTCTTGTCTGTTAAGCTGTCTTTGTTTTTATTGAGGGTGTTGATGTCACTTCCTGTCTGCATGATGCCGGGAGCAGCGGAAGTGTGTTCATGCTCTGAGGGCCAGCTGCCGAGGGGAGGCATAGTAGTTGTCCTGCGGCTGCCGGATGTTTGGGTTGGCGTAAATCGGGAAGTCCCCTTCTGAGCGTGGGGGGGCCTTGTGCTCCATGTTAGGGCTTCCTGCATCCTTCTGCTTCCTGCTCATTTCTTCATAGATGGGGGAGTTAGGCTGCAGTGGGCGACGGTGCTGTACTCTGACCTACAAAACAAAATATCTGTCAAACTGCTGACCAGATTTTCAGAGAGGAAGGCTTGTTTCCATCACAAATGTAGCAAAGTTGGGGAAATATTACCAGATAAGATGAAACATTTTTTATTTTCCTGGATAAGGTGTCAGAGGAGGAATATGTGAAAAATTGATCATGTAAAATGTTGCCAAATCAACACAGAAATGATTCCCAAATCACTTAAAAAACCTCTTAAATATTGTATTAAAGTTCTATTGTGTGGGAAAAAAAGACTTGTTTTTGCACTTTTCTTGGAGTAAATATATACAGGTGTTACTATATTTGATAATATTAAAATTAAAATCTTTTTTTTGTTGAACATTTAAGAAATGTGTTTTAATATCTCTCAGTTACACTCAGGTAACAGAACAACTGATTATTTTGTTGCCTTCTTCTCTTAAGGTTCATTTGACCACTTTTTAGACATTGAAAACGAGGGGTATGCTGTTAAAACAAAGGCCCAGGGGGCCACAAAAAAATATTAAAACTATTCTTTTCATCGATAAGGGAGCCCAACCAGCTAAAACAAGAGTTAAGAAAAACATTGGATGATAAAAGATTGTTTTTAGGGTATTTTATGGCTGATTTAATACACAGGTTCATCATCTGAGCCCAGCGCGTTGAAACATGGTATCAGAGGAGTGCCGTCCTGCTAGGAAAAACAAGGAAGTTATAATTGTATTTTAATTGAAATAATACCTCAATTTATTATTATTACCCCTCTGCATAAATAGTTTCATCTAAAAGTTAAACTTATTTATATTAGTGCCTTATTTATGTATTACATCTGCTTAGTTTAACAGTTCAATCCAATTTGGATTATAGAATACATTAGGATTATGGTAGTTTTTCTATAATTTGGAATTAAATCTGCTTTTCAGGTTTTTGGATTGCATTAGTAGAGTCTGGTGGGCAATGACTTGGCTGAAGTTGTCTTCTGTTTTTTACAGGGATGTGCAACCAAAGTGTTATTTTTTAAACAGCTTCCCTTTTATTTAAATGGGTTTATGTCCTCATGCTAAATGTGGAGTGGGGGCGTGAATCCTTTTCTGTTAATTAATAATCATTAAGTTTCATCTAAGAAGCTGAACACAAAAATCTGATAATATACCTGAATTTAAAGTATTGTTGTGTCTATTCAACTTTAAACTCTTTCTGTCAAATATATATTTGGTTTTTGCTTAAAATTGATTGTAAAGAAGCAATAAAATGTTAGATACTTACACATTTTTCCATGACTAGCAAGCAGGTTGTTAGGAGGAGAAGCCCTGCTGCAGCAGAGATGGTCAGGAGCAGAGGGATGTAACCATGAGAGCACTGGCAGGACCCCCCTGCACCGGAAACATTGTTTCTACAATAAATCTTTCATTTTAAGCAACAGAGTGCGGTATGATTTACACTGTGATGTCATCAAACTACACACCTTCCCTTTCAACCAGAAGGAAGCACTTCTGGCCCCAAAGGATGACCTGCTCTGAGCCGTTCTTCTGTACGTATCTCAGCTCCCACATGTAGAGTCCAGAGTCCCTCAGCTGCAGGGGAGAGATGCTGATGTTGATCCTCAGTGAGTTCAGGCCCCCACTGAGCTGCAGACGGGCCCCTCGCTCTGGGTCCACCCGGACCGGGGTGCCCTCAGCTGCTGACAGCAGGGTGGTCTGACCCTGGGGGCCACGGTGGTACAGATACAGTCCTACCAGGCGGCCATGTTCCGGCTGTATAGTGGAGGAGAGTACCAGACACTGATCCTCTGCAAGGCGCTTAAAAACCACCTCTGCAAAGACTAGGAGGAAGAGTAGCTAGTGTGAGCTGCTGGTAAAACACAGATTAGATTAGTTGGATCAGTGGTTTAGAATGCTCCTGGTAGAAACCCATGTTGGTTCGAGACAACATGAAATTGAGCTTGTTAAGGTAATGCTAAAGTTTGAGACACATTTCAAAATGATTGCTGAACACTTAAAATTAAGTTTAGTTTTGCAAATTGCATCATGACTTTAGGAAAATCTATTTTGTTAAGAACAGATTTTAAAAGTTTATGAGACAGAGCAGCATATAACTACTAAGTTCAAGTTTTAGGATTTGTTTCAACAAATAATTACCAAATTTACTCTGGCACCCCCTACCATGGTTAGCAATATTTTGGCTCACATGGGTTTTAAGGGGAGTTAGTATAGAAAATCAAGCTCTTAGAGGATGAATCTCACTCTTGCACTTACTGTCAGTCAGTTTATGATTTCATCTCTCAACTTTAGCCTCATAATCTAATCTTTTTTTATGTCTTTACTTTTGTTTTTAGAACTAGGAGATACCTATATTTAAAGTTTATTATACATAATAGAAATTTTAATTTAACTGATGTTGTGTTTTTTTCTTTTTACAATATTCTAATTTACCGTATATCTCCATCTCCTTTGGTCAGAACTTCATATTTCTTGTGCAGCCACTCTCAAACTACCAGCTTCCCTGTGCAATTTCCTCCTTTAAATAGGATGGACCAAACTTGTTTTGAATGTTATTTATTGTACAATCCTTGTAGATCTTCCATAATAAGGTCATTTGTCGACTATTTACTTATGATAGGCTATTTTTATGTTTCTTCTCCCACACAATTTCACTATCCTCATTTGGAATCCATGAAGTTCAGGCCCTATATGATACTGGAAAAAGAAAATGCAAAAGAGAGTGATTTGAGGTGGAGAATCTCCTTCCAGTTGGGTGATGAATCTAAACTTACATTCAGACATACCATGGAGTGGTTAAGATCAAAGCCTGACCATGAGTTAAAATAGCCTAGTCAAAGTCCAAAAATAAATACAATTGAGAAGCTATTGTAAGACATTAAAAGCTACAGATGTTCCGAGCAGCGTCATAGAAGCACTCTATTTCTGTAATGCCTACATAAAAAGAAACTGATCATCGGATGTACACTGGAAAATTTGAACTCTAGATAAGTCATTTTTTCTTAAAATAAGTGCATTTTGTTCTTGGATTGAGGAGGTAAAAGAAACATTTTGCCAATGAAACAAAATAATTTACATTTCAAATAAGAAAACACAATTGCATTGTCTTATTTCAAGTGAATGTTATCTAATTATCTTATTTTAAGAGTAAAAATACTAATTCCATTCGCAAACTATCTCATTTAACTACTCAAATTCAGGGTAAATACATTTAATTTAAGACATTTTTCTTATTTTTACATCATTTTTCCAGTGTAGGTCCTTTTTCCATAGTTTTTGTTCAAGTATCAATAAAAACAGATGCAGCTACCTGAATATAATCTCACTTTTATACGAGGTCAGGCAAATTCTTCTGTCAGTAATTAAAACCTTCTTGACTGCATAAAAAAACTCCAACCAAATGGGAATGATTGGCCCTAACTAACATTTGTTCAGATAAAAACAAGCAAAGACAACATTTTGAATGTTTCTGAGTGAAGTGAAAAAGCCCTTACCTTCACAAACCTGAATAAATAGGAGAATAAACCGTAGATGTGTCTTCATGTTGTTCACAGTCAGAGAGCCTGACAGAATATTCCAGAGTTAGATTATAATATAGTCCTCCGCTCCGCTCTGCACGGTCCTGTGAGGCGTTTGAGGCTACCTTGAGTTCCTATTGTTCGTCACCCTGAGGAACAGGAAGGCAGCCTCAAAGCAAGAGCAGCGGTTAGAACACAGTGGTTGTTCTGCGCACACCGAGGCTGCAGATGTAAGGTCTGAAATGATACAGAGAGACAGGGTGGAAAACCACACAGTAAAAAAAAAAAAACGGTCTACTACAAGAACTTAATGTCAGTATTCTGACACTGATTTCAGCAATTGTGGCGGGATTATGAGCAGTTGAAATATTTGATTAATTTCACAACTGCTCATTTTGACAGCATCACTGGCCTTTTTTTTTATCTTCTAACCTTGAAGTAACGCTTATCACATCAGGCTTTTCAAAACACACAAACTAAACAATTTGAAATGAAATTACATTTAAAAAAGGAAAAAAAAATCTGATACTAAAAAAGCTTTTTTTACACATATCTATCTATCATCTATCTATCTATCTATCTATCTATCTATCTATCTATCTATCTATCTATAATATATCTATAAACAATACATATTTAACTTAGGGCTGAAACAATCATGATTAATTGATTATTGAAATAATCATCAACTAATTTAGTAATCAATTAATAGTTATAATAATAGACTTTAAAACATAATCTCGATTTAAAACATGCATTAAGCTGACAGAGCGACCCACTTAGAGCTGTAACTATATTAAAATTGTAAAAATATATATATATATATATATTAACATTTTGCAATGAAGAAAAAAAATATGTTTTTCTCTGTCAATATGCTCTATCCAGAACTCTAGTAGAAACATTTTAGTTTAACCTGGTTTAATTTAGTAAAACATCTTCTTTAAGGAACCTTTGGCTATCCGATTATTCATTGATTAATCGAAAAAAAATTATCTACAGATAAATCGATTAGAAAAATAATCGTTAGTTCCAGCCCGATTTTAATGGCTGATTTGCCAATATCATCTTTAGATATTCTTCACAGATTCACACCTATTCAATAAAACATTCTAATGACTTCTGTTTACCATTAAGCAAAACAACACTGAAACAAAGTAAACTTAAATAGAGAAGACCTTTTATTTGAAATGCACTAGCACCAACTCTTCAATCCATGAATAAAAAATTTTCTTATAAAGAAAAACAGTTAAAAGTTATGCTTTTCATAAATTGTACCAAATGTGCATATTTAATACATTTGACATACCAAATTTGGTCTTTTTGTAATGCTTTAAATTGTTGCTTCTTAGGAGAAGTGCTTTATAAGACCTTGTGGTCTTCTTAACCGTTCCTGCACTCTTTTTAACTACATATTGTTGTTGTTAATTTTATTTATTTTTATGTACAAATATAACTAAATCCAAAAAATTTATTTTAATGACATTTTTTTTAAGCATGCTTTGCCCTCTAACTGTGTTGATAAGCTGGTAGATTTTTTTCATTCTGAAAATCTCAGAAATCAATTATTCAGTTGCTCCAATTACATCGAAGGTTGTTTCTGGAAAGGAAAAGTCTCAGTGGAGAAATGTTTCACCAATCAAAAGTGAAGGTGCATCTCTGGTAAAAAAAAAAAAAAATGTCTGCTGTCACTTGATCCTGCTAACAAACCAATAAAATCCATTTGTTCTTTTTCTCAGTGAAATACCTCTGGACTCTTAGAGCCCAATACCAAAACTGTCAATAGTCACTGCTGCCACCCTCTGGTTTAAAGGGGAACTGCTTGTTCCCCCAAATATCCCAATCTAACAATGTTAGAGAATCTTTTAAAACCTTCCTGTATCCAGATTATTACCTGCATCATCACAGAAATGTAATGGATTGGAAACCTCTTATGAAAACTTCATTAAAGTTATATATAACATTTCAAGTCATCCTGTACACAGACGGACAGACTCTCCTAAAAACATAACCTCCAAGGCAGAGTTAACAGATTAAAAAAATCCTACACCAACTGACCTCTTCTTCCTACTGCCTCCAGTGTTTCACCCACAGCCTTCATTAAGAAATGTATCCCTGTCATAACATCTGATTCAACTCAAATAAAACTCTTCATATTTGGTGTTTTCCCCAGGCCAAAAACAGTAATTATTCTCTTTCAACCCCTGATGAAAATTAGCAACTTGGACAAATTAATGCAGAACTCTCCACTGTCGCTACAAGCATGCTTAGTGTGAGGGATTGCATTCGAGTCAATGAGTCAATGCAATCAACTGGCTTTCCTTAGATAGAAAACTTTGAATCAATTTCACTGTATGAACTGTTTGAATTGTAAAGTGCCTTGAGATGGCATGTGTTGTGAATTGGCACTATATAAATAAACTAAATTGAACTTCCCCTTCAAATTACTGAAAAAAAAGTTTAACAGCTAAAAACCTTCCAAACAAGGACCAATTTCTTCACTGTCATGCAGTCAGGCTGCTGTACTGACTGTCCTTATCCAGATGTTCAATGATATCCATTTAAATCCTACTTGAGGGTCAGGCACTTTCTGTTTTGGTAGGTATCTACATGCTCCACCTTACTCACATCTTAATTAACAACAATATGGGTTAACAAAACTCTGTGGACAAAACACAACTATAAGTTTTTTATTAAGTTGCCACTAGATCGATTCAAGCGCTAGAAGAAAAATTAAGGAATACATTTATGGCAAAAGAAGAGTGTTGAAAAGTTAGCACACAGCTTCAGTTAATACAGCTAGAAACTAATCAGGACGTAGTGCTGGACCTGAACCTTCAGTTGCTCATAAAGACAATAAGAAAAGTCAGGCTTACATCTCCAGGATTAAAGGACTAATGTCTCAATAGGACATTGCAAAAACATATTAATGGATTGATCTTTAGCAGAATTGATTACTGCAGCGGAGTCCTGTCAGGTCTGACTAAAAAGTCAGTTAGAAAGCTGCAGCTGATCCAAAACGCTGACCCTATCAAAGCTAAGAAAGTGGGGAACATCACCACAGTGCTGAATTCATCAGCTGGCTCCCTGCATCTCAGAGAATAGAGAAAATTCTTCTGTTAATCTATAAACCACTAACTGCTTTAGCACCAAAACACATTACAGACCTTTTGTCCATGTATCAACAATCCAGACCTCTCAGGTCATCTGACTCAGAGCTACACCAAGCACCAAACGTGGCTATAAATCGAGATTAAAATATATTCTAATCTCATATTTGTTTAGAGCAGCCTTAGACTGTGCTGTCAAAACATTATCATAATAATTATTAGTTAACCTTTCAATCCAACTTTCCTTGCACTTTCTATTGATCATTTTATCCTTTTTAATATAATCTTAGTTTAATTCTCTTTAATTATTTGTTTTGGCTTTATGTTACTGGGTTGCACATTTTTCCCCTCTAATGAACAGTACTTAGAATTGTCATGCTTGTGAAATGTGCTTGCCTTGCCTTATTCATGGTTAAAGCAAGCATATTTTCATAAACAAAGATCCTAAAATTCAACTACATATCAGTAAGGCAAGGCAAGGCAAATTTATTTGTATAGCACAATTCAGAACAAAGACAATGCAAAGTGCTTTGCATTATTAAGATATAGGAAAATAAAACAGAATCAAAGCAAGTAGGGAAAAAAATAAAATAAAAAATGCAGAAACAAAAAAGAACATTAAAAACAGTTGGACTAAAGAAAGTAAGAAAGTTGAACTAATGATGTTTCAGTTTAACTGTTAAACTAGAACAGTTATAGGCAATCCTAAACAAATGTGTTTTTAGTCTTGATTTAAAGGAACTCAGGCTTTCCGCACTTTTACAGTTTTCTGGAAGTTTGTTCCAGATAAGTGGAGCATAGAAACTAAATGCTGCTTCTCCATGTTTAGTTCTGGTTCTAGGTATGCACAGCAGGCTGGACCCAGAAGACCTGAGTGGTCTGGAGGGTTGATACACTAGTAGTAGTTTTGTTTTCCCAATTTTGAGATAAAAAAAATGGATCTTGTGGATCAGATTTTCATAACACTGTATGAGATGTTGTTTAACTTCTCTCTCTCTATATAAAACAAGTATTTTCTTGAAACCAAAAAATCTTCTCTTTCCCTTCAGCTTTCTTTAACTGAAATAACATATCCTTAAAACCTGGATCTCCAGGACTCCTACAGTCCCTTGAACAATATTCTCATTATATATTTTGTTGGATATTTCCCCTTCAATTAGGATTCTATTCAGTTTGCTGTGGCCATTTTCACTAACATTATCTGCTCCTTACTTCAATTATATGCTAAATATGTTTGATTGGAACATCTTAACTTTATATCAAACTTCCCTTTTTTAATATTTTTGTTTGACACATTTTTAATTTTATTTCCCACTTCTTTTTTTTTTTTTACATGGGATTGAATCCACATGATTACTAAGGTTCTATTTTTGCACAAAGTATTTAAAGCAGCATGTTTATAGTTTCTGTTTTTAAATGTGATTGGACCAGAGGAAGCTTGTTAAGTTTGGGCTCAGAGGAATAGCTCCTAATTAGGACTGATTTAGTGCAGGTGTGATCTGCTGGGATTTAAATATCAGCATTCAGCTGCTTGATTCACTGTCTTGTGGGTCGGTTAGAAGCACTTGCAGTCTTGTCCTGTCTGGTTTGTTGGAGTCCTCATGGAAACCCTTTGGTTTAATCTCCTTTTAGGGATAATGTTTTCTGGGCTCTGCCCTCAATCAGCTCTTGCTTTTAGACCCCAGAAGTACCCACAGTATCCCTCTCTTCCAAGACCTCTTCCAAGACCTCGGCCTCAGCAAAGTGTGTCTCACCCTGTGGATCAGCACGAGCCAGAGCTGGTCAACACGGTCAGTGTGATGTGCCACCCTGACTCAATGGAGGTGGTGATCACTGCTGACATGTTTGCGGTTGGAGCGCCGGTTGACAGTCGGGAGCTGCGTCTTGGAGTGGAGGATAATGAGCTATGTAGAGCTAAAGCTACTTCTGCTGAGGAGTACAGGATTGTTGCTGGGCTGGATGACTGCGGCACCAAACACTGGGTAAATTGATAATGTTGTTGACTTGACTTACCGGTACTTTTTTTTTAATGTACATTTTTATAACTATTGTTTTCTAGATGACCAAAGATGCCCTGATTTACACAAACCTTCTCATGTACTCTCCGCTGCCCAACCCTAGTGGGATAATTCACATGGAGGAAGCAGTAATCCCTGTTGAATGCCATTATGAAAGGTTTGCCTATATATTTTTTTTTTTTTGTCCTGCAAATGTACACAATCTTTAAGTGATTTAAAACTGCATCTCTCTTTAGGAAGTATGGTGTATCAAGCTCTTTAATGCCAACTTGGATTCCTTTCACATCGACCCAAGCTGGAGTTGAAACTCTGCAGTTCAGCTTGAAGCTGATGACTGGTAAGTTCACTTCTCCCCTCTGATTTCTAGCTCAACATTCAACTTATCCCTCATCTCTCCTCCAGATGACTGGATGCATGAAAGAGGTGCCAATGTGTTTTACCTTGGTGAACCCATCCACCTTGAAGCCTCTGTGAGGGTTGGACACCACATGGGTCTCAGGGTGTTTCTAAGCAGCTGTGTGGCCACACTTCAACCAGATGCAAACTCTGATCCCAAATATTCCTTCATTGAAAATGGGTGAGAAACGAGCTGAATTTGAACCTAGGTGTTCAACAAGGAGCTGAATTTGACTTTCTAAAGTCTTGCACACCAAGCATCTATCAGGATGGTGTCTTTCAAGGTCCATTGGCCTTTTCTCCTGCATAGGTGCTTGATGGACTCCCAGCTTCCAAACTCAAAGGCACAGTTCTTACCCCGAACCAAGGATGACGTGCTGCAGTTGACCATTGACGCTTTCAAGTTCCATAATGACAATAGAGGACAGGTGAGGATGCGTTCAATTACCCTAAAGTGCAATTTGAGATTCATTCTCACCTGCCTTTTTCTTCAGCTCTACATCACCTGCCACCTAACTGCTGTGCCAGTGAATGATGCAGAAACTCCAAATAAGGCCTGTACCTATATGAATGGCAGGTGAGTGACTTTATGGAAAGGGTTGGTTTGGTAAGAATGGAAATGAGGCTGCATCTCTTCAGGTGGAGGTCTGCTGATAGCAACGACTACTTGTGTGGTTATTGTAAGACTCAAGATCAAATGTATGGCAAGGCTAGCATTCCTGGGGTAGTTGGTCCTCGTGCATTTGGAAAGGTGGCTGGACCTCGAGGATTTGGCAAGGTGGCTCCTGCTGAATCCATGTGGAAGAGTGGGGTGAAGACCAAGGGTAAGTCCTTGCCACTTGAACATCTAAAATTGTTGGCCTCTCATAATGCATTGCTTTATTTCAGCTGTATGGGAACAAGATGCCAGAGTGGGACCTCTAACAATCTTGCCATCAAGTAAAAGTGGAATCATTCCTTTTGGTGAACTCCCTGGTGTTCTGCAGAAACTCTACAGCCCTGCACTGTATGGCAGTCACTGGAGAAGTGGAATCCAAAAAACTGGTATGTTTAACAAAGTAAGGCTAAATTTTAATCCAGGGATGTTTGATTAAAATGGTCTCTTTCAGATCAAGAGAAAGGACTGCTTCCTGAGCCCTCCAATGCTGATGCTGAAAATGAAACGGGACTAAAAGGTACTGCATAATCTCTAGGGCAACCTGTACAGTTAACCTCTATCCTGACACTGTTTTCTGTTTGCAGGTGACTTGGAGGAAAATGACCTGTATGAAGCAGCCAATAAGTATGCTCTCAAGTCCTTGAATGTGCCAATGGATAAAAACACAACAGATTCTAGTTACACTGATGGCACCCTGCATAAGATGGAGGAGCCTACAGGGAAGAATGCAACTGCTACTGCAACTGGCCTTTCTGAACCAAAGAAATAAAATAAATTTCAATAATTTGCCCTCTAGTTTACTTTAAAGGAATGCTGTGTATGTGAAAGGTTTCCTGTATTTAATGTGGAACCCCTACAGGGACTAAATGCAAAACTGCCACTAAAGTGAACTATTGTCTTGCAGCACTTAAATGAGTTTCACTTTAAAAGTGAAAGCTGTAATTTGTCTGCACTACACTGGATTTGCTGAAACTAGCAGTTCAGAAACTTTTGTAGCAATGAACCTTTAAACTGAGCAGGGTTCACTAAAGTAGGCATTTGACTCCATATCCTGTGAGGTGTAACATAATCACATGCAGCATCATGTGAAACAGTGGATATTGGACAAATCTGTCATGTTGAGTTGCAGAAATTATTGCTGCTCTAATTTCAAAGTGCTTCCAAAGTAGTTTTGAATTTGCAACAAGTTTTTAAGTAAATTTCAATCTTTTACTGTAAAGACATCTCCAATTATACAGGGTTATTTACACATTGAACTAAATTATGCTTCAGTAATTCAGACTTGCTGCAGTTTGCACAAAAAGCAAACCAGCCTAAAGCAGGTCCCATCTCTACATTGCATCATACAGAAATTCAGTTTGTATAGTGCCAGTTCACAACACGTCATCTCAAGGCACTTTATAGTTCACCAGATCACTTATTTGAATTTGTAACTAGTTTAATGTGCACAGATTCAACTCGAAGTGGGATTTACTCTTTAGAAATTATTTCTACTAGTGGATATTGTAGTGCATTATAATAGTGTAGACAAGCACTTATTTAAAAGTGATAGTATTGCAGTAATTGCTCCTGTAATACCTTAAACGGTCTATGATGTATTACAGGAGACAATCCCCCCCTGCCTTTATGACCGACCTTCAGAGTCATAGACAGGTTTCAGATATTACAGGCTAACAATGGAACCAAACCACTCATTCATCGGTTATCATTTGCATATTTCCAAGCAATACAAGGCCTTGTATATATTAGACTTAAACTCACTGCGGATCCAGACAATTGAATTGAGAAAGCTTCCTTCAGAGGTGGCGAAACGTCTTCAAATCTTGGAAACAAAGTCCAGTGGATATCTTTTGAACTTTTACGGAATTACTATGACCTGGATGACTGAGAATCTTCATCAGCTAAATTGATTTCCATGTATCTCAGAGAAAGTCCAACACACTTTTGGGTAATTCTCATTTGCACTTGGCAGTGATGTAAGAAAATCCTGAAAAACATTCAGGTCCTAAAAGCTTGGGGACGAAATGTTACATGAATCTTGGTATGATAATTATCAAAAGTGGACAGGAAAAATTCTATTTTATTTTTTGCTTAATCCAAATAGACAAACCTAGACTGTATCCAAAAGATTTACAGTATATATTCACAGGCACAGAGCGCAATTCCTCACAAAGTTCTAAAGATCTATGTTGCAAGCTTTTTTTTTAGTTCTACTTGCCAAGTCAACCAGATCAGTTTGATCACATTTTATTAACAGATCTGTAGTTAAATGTGTTTCTATTTTCTGCAGTCTGGTGATAGAATCAGGTCAG